CGCCAAACGCATTCCTTCATACTTAAAAGTTTTCTTATATACAAAGGGAAAATTAAAATGAAAGTTTAGTATTCTGCTTAATCGACACGCCGTAGAGTTTAGAGTCTACAGAAGAATTGTTGAAATTGCATATACAATCAAGGGAACAGCAGGGGTCGAAACTTAACGGGCGTACCACAGGATTTCCAGAGAGGGGATACGTGTAAGAATCGTCGAAATTGTACCAGCGGTTGTCGTATCGGTTCTTAGCATAAGCAGTGTAGTGTCCATCCGCGGGTCCACCCATGTGATTGCTGACAGCAACGAGGTCATAAATACTTTCTTGTTGTTTCGAATTACATATTTTGAGGCCTCTGAAAGAGATGAGAAAACGCGGTGGCAAGTGGCTTTTTTTGTGAGACGAGAAAAAGGATCTTGGAGAACCCATGTAGGACTTCTAAGAGAAAACAAGCAGAAAGTGAACTCACTCTTCTGGGAAATCCACCAATTCGTTCACCTTCGTCATAGGTAACGTTGTACCGAAACGCTTAAGGTGAATGATAAGGACGTCGGGTAAACGCCAAAATTCAAATTGCTTGGGTACCTGTCTGGTCTTCTTGCACTTTTCGCAAAACCAGTGATTTTTGATGGTAAACAACTGGAAACAAAGATAGAGGTCCAGTTTCTGCTGCAGCTGATTGGTTGGATTGAGCTCCAAGAAACCCGATGGGACACGAATGTAGAGGTGTTTATTAAATGAACTGCGTTTGACTAAAAGCACGAAGTTATTTTAATCAAGAAGGATGGGAGAACTCGTAAACTTAGAGAGAAGAATAGGGTTAGGCCAGATTAAAGTATTATACGAGGGCTTCTACCATAATGCAGTTTCAGCTATACAAATATTTAGGAACTATCGGTCTGAATGGTTACATCGCCAGTGTTTTTGGCACTTGGATAGAATACGGGATTAGAATGTCCACAGAAATCGTTATATAGGCTTCTGAGAACAAAACCGTGGTTGTGTGGCGGTTTAGTTGACTGATTTCGTCTCGGACAGAGAGATACTGTCATAACTCGTGCAAACGCGTTTCTAGTTTCCCAAAATGTTCATTGGCACCTAATTTATTTGTCCCCGCAACGTTTTCGTATATCTCAAAATGTTGCTGTGTTATGCGTGTTTATGCTTTCAAAGCATACGTCTTCACATCATTTTAAACTGCACACTTGCAAACTCTACTTAGATTACTAACAAATTTCTTTATTTTTTTGAATTGCACCTCCTTATATTACTTTGGTGGCATATGCGGTTAACTCAGTTTACGTTCCGATAAATTAGTCTACCTTACAGTAAGTGCGTAATAAAGCACAGCCAATAAATTCGTCTATCGTTGGTTTTACAGGCATCCATTAGGTGGCAATGTAAGTATTTTTAACGTCAAACACATGTCTTTTTTTGTATGCTATTCATGAAGCTAACGCTTAAATGAAATAAAGGTGCTCTGTTAGCGTGACTTGGGTCATATTTAGGGTAGTATCTCCAAAAATAAGCATATATGGTGACTCGCACCAAACACTCGAGATTCCTCATAATTCGTGACGGGTTCTGTAACCGAATATCACGAATGCTATATTGGCAATGCTCGAAACATTACTGTAATTCTAAAATGTTGAATTGTCTGCGCTGTCTAGTCACTTAAGCCATTCAGTGGAATACGTGGGGGACTGAGCAACTGGTAATCAACGGCACAGTGAGAAATCGTTGAAGAGCTCTTTAGATTGTCCTAAAATGTGCTCCTGCGTCCGCTAGTGGGTATTGAAATCGACATAAATCCTATTAATTGCCCGAAAACAGGCTTGAAAGGTGCAGCTCTCTGAACAAGCTTCTCGGTCTACCTGTTAGTCCGGTCTGTTGGTCGAATCCCTCCTTGCTTAGATGCGCATTGATTATTTTAAGAACTTCGTCACACAAGGCCTCAGAAGGGTTTGAATCCGAGGCATCTTCAGAGTTTGGTGTCCTAAAAACAGATTTGCGGCGATGAGTCAGGGTGCCATTACACGCAGTTGCTCATTCTATACATTAACAAAAGAACTACAACTTACGTTGTATTAGTACTTCCCTCAACAAAAGGGACCTCAAAGGCAGTAAGTGTACCGTCTTCCATTGGAAAGTGTAATATGTCCTTCAGTTGAAGTACTCGCAATTCGTCTCCACAGCGTTGAGCAATAACATACTGGAAAAGTAATATAAGAAGAGGCGTGTAAGCCGACAAAAAGCAATGGTTTGGTTGAATTTCCACAGTCTCG